TATATATATATAAATAGTTGTTTGATTTGATTTGTATATAAATTAATTGTATTTATTTTATCTTGTCTTATTTATTTTTCAAATATTTTTCTATTTTTTTATATATTTTTTTTCTTTTTTTTTTACATTCTATAATTTTTTTAGGATATTTCTTTACATTTTATTTATTTTATCTTATCTTATATTTTTTATTTTATTTTAAAGCAGTGACTTGCACTTTTTGTTGTTCACAAACTTAAAATTTTAGTCCCTACTGCAGGCCCAAACCTGTTGTTTTATATAAGTGTGATTGCACAGCACAGAGTTGTGTATCCCTCACAGGAAGTGGAATCTGGAGACCGTTTGCAATGTCAGATGCGACGATGCATTTACAGCATGTGGTGTATGTTGATCTCATTCTGCATCTGACCTTGAGGAAAACCCCTCTGCATATAGATTAATTTGATTGTAATCCAGTAATGGGCACCTTTTGTAAAGCTGTTTTGAAACACTTATTGTGAAAAGCGTTATTCAAATAAACTTAAATTTAATTGAATTGAAGAAACAATGGCACAGTAAAAACACTGCAATCACAGTCTCAGCCCTCTGTATTTTACCATTACTCAGCACACACACACACACACACTATTGACTAGGACACATTCTGAAGGTCAGGTGTCACTGCTGTGTAAATGTAATTTGTTCTTTAGACGGCAGCTGTAATTCTTCAGCAGGGTTTCATTTGGTTTATTCGGGAGGCTCTGATAGATTTCTTCCTCTGTGCATTAGATGTTAATGCATTGCAGACATATTATATTCAATGCATATGAATGTATGTATGCATTAGGTGTAATTGCAATTTGAATTTCAAAAATAATATGCGGCTAAGATTGCACAAATGTCTGGATAAATTAGTAAAACATAATTTTGTAATGTATTTTGTAGCAGTTTGAAAGTAATGAAGATAAGAATGAATAATTTACTGCATTATTTTATAAATAAAATGTTTAATCTTGTAATTTCAGTTTGATGCTAAGATAGTTTTAATAATAAAATAATTTAAAATGTCATTACTTATAAAATAGTATAATGTTTATATTATTATGTTATATTCTTTTTACAATATAATATATTATAATTTTTGTATTTTTTGTAATATATTTTAATAATTATAATTTTTTTTATTTCTTTTATTTTGTTATATTTATATTTATATTTATTTTTAATTTGGAATCAAAATTGGAACTTTTATGATCATTTTGACAATATAATAATTTAATTGTTTTATAATTATAAATTGAAGTATTTTATAATATAATTTGTTGTTGTTATTATTAATATTATAATAATAACAAAATAATTAATAAAATGCTTTACAGTTATTTTCATATATATTTCATAAATTTGGAATTAGAATTGCAACATTTATGATTATTTTAATAATAATAATAATAATAATAATAAAATGACAAAATTATTTTAGTAATTTAAAATAATAATATTATTTTAACATGGTTTCTTGTTGTTATTTGTAAACTATTTAAATAATTACTTTATTTAATATATATTTTATTTATTTGGAATCAGAATTGGAACGTTTGATCATTTTGTCAATATAATAATTACATTATATTATAGTCATAAAATAATGTAATATATTATTTTAGAATATAAGTTGTTATTAATATTATTATTAGTAATGATAATAGCAAAATAATTCATAAAATTCTTTACAATTAATGTTTTATTATACATTTCATATATTTGGAATCAGAATTGGAACATTTACGATTATTTTAATGATAAATTAATTAAATCATTTTAGTAATATAAAATAATATTAACTGTATATAAAATTGTATTAACTGTAAACTGTTTTATCAGTTATTTTATTTTAATATGTATTTATTATTTGGAATCCGAATTAAAACATTTATGATTATTTTAATAAAGTAAATTTAAATATTTTAAATATAAAATAATATAATGTATATTTATAGTTCTTATAAAATATGTAATATATTATTTTATAAAATGCTGTTTTTGTTGTTGTTAATATATAATAAAATGTTTTATAATCTAATTTATTATGTTTAATTAATATTATTTATTTAATTATTTTGTTGCTTTATATTCATTAATTTGGAATCAGAATTGTATTTTAATAATAAAATATTTAAATTATTTTAGTAATTATAAAATAATATAATATAATATTAACTTCAATAAAATTATTTTTATTGTTGTTTATTGATAACAATAAACATTTTTTTTATTTAATTTTATAATTTTTATTTATTTTTATTTTATGCACTTCGTTTATTT